ACTTTGGGATCAGGCAGCAATATCGATGCAATGAACATGAAATTAAGCAAACTCCGGGCCTGGTGCGATGTGGTCCGTGGAGTCGCGAAGAGTCGGACTTGACTGTGTGATTGAACAATAAGAAGAAAACCGTTTTTCTCCAGGCCAGTTTGGCTGGAGATCCTGGAGGTTTTTTGTCACTTTCAGGGCATGGAAGACAAGTCGCTGGGGGTGGAGGGGAGGTATTTGTAACTTTTCTGCATAAGAACATAAGAGACGCCAATGTTGGATCAGGCCAACACTCTGTCACACAGTGGCCAAAAAATGCCAGGGGCCATCAGGAGGTCCAGCAGTGGGGCCAGGAGACCAGAAGCCCCTCCCACTGTTGACCCCCCCCCCCCAACCACCAAAAAAACAGAGCATCACCTGCCCCAACCTGTGAATTCCTATCTATACCTTGTGGCTAAGAGCCACTGATGGACCTCTGCTCCAGATGTTTATCCATAAGAACATAGAGAAGCCAGTGTTGGATCAGGCCAATGGCCCATCCAGTCCAACACTCTGTGTCACACAGTGGCCAAAAATACCAGTGGCCATCAGGAGGTCCACCAGTGGGGCCAGGACATTAGAAGCCCTCCCACTGTTGCCCCCCCCCCAAGCACTGAGAATACAGAGCATCCCTAGCCCCAGACCGAGAGTTCCTATCTATACCTTGTGGCTAATAGCCACCGATGGACCCCTACTCTTAAAATAAAAACATAAGAGAAGCCAATGTTGGATCAGGCCAGTGGCCCATCCAGTCCAACACTGTGTCACACAGTGGCCAGAAATACCAGGTGCCGTCAGGAGGTCCAGCAGTGGGGCCAGGACACCAGAAGCCCTCCCATAGTTGCCCCCCCAAGCACCAAGAAGACAGAGCATCCCTTGCCCCAGACAGAGTCCCTATCTATACCTTGTGGCTAATAGCCACTGATGGACCTCTGCTACATATGCTTATCTAATTCCCTTTTGATGCCGTCCATGCTTGTAGCCGCCACCACTTCCTGTGGCAGTGAATCCCATGTGTTCATCACTCTTTGGGTGAAGAAGTATTGTGCAGGGGGTTGGACTAGATGACCCTAGAGGTCCCTTCCATCTCTATGGTTCCAGGGCTTCATCCCTTCCATCAGTGGTCTGGAGACTGACAGGTTTTTGTAGAACTCCGATTAACTCTGTGGCTCTGTGACTCTGTTTGTTCCTGCCAGTTTTCACGGCTGTCTCCCAGCCCTCCTGCCTGAGCACCTTCAGGACGTAGGATTGCCAGGTCCATTGGACCCGTCGGCAGGGTGATGGAGGGAGTGTCCCGGGAGTGGAAAGGGACGTACCTGGAAATAATAATGAAGTGACAGCCATATTTTGCTTTGCTTTCTGAGCGCATTGTATCCTTCCATTCTGCATTCCCTCCCGCTTTAACTTCCAGTTTGTGTTGGGGCTTTCTCTTGTTTCTTTATTTGTTTTACAAGAATCTGCAACTAGACCACTCCCAGCACACTGTTTCCCCGCAGTTACCAAAACTCCTTTTGCAGCGATTCTTTGTGCTCATCAGCTTTCAAATCACCAATCCTTTCTAAAGTAGAATTGTTTCTGGAGGTATTTAAGTGCTGCCCAGTTTCCGCCTCTGTCTTTAAGTTGACACTCCCTCCCTGTTCTGTTTTCTTTCCCTCCTTCTCTAAAGACAGAAGAGGATGTATCCTCCACTCAGGGAAACTTTTAAAAAGCCAGAGAGAGCATAAGAAGGAGTCAGTAAAAGACTAGGGGATTCCCTACTTCCAAATGTGTCAGTCTTGCATGTGGGGGCCTGGGTTCCCCCCCCTCTTCCCTTTCTTTTTGCGGAATCACGGAGGGAGCAGTTGGATTTGCAGTTAAAAGTTTTAACTGTGGGAGTGTCACGTTGCCCTGTCATGGTTCTGGAATGTGGAGGGGTTCCCTCCCGTTTTCTGACTCAGCTCTCCCTGGCTCACCGACTGTTTGCTATCTTATGCTTGACCTTGTAGATGCTCCAGCTGCAGTTTTACCCGGCTGGGAAAGTTAACGGCTTTTGCTTTGCCTGCTTGCTTTGCCCGCCTGCGCGAGATGTATTCATTGGCTTCATGCTTACCGGGGGGATGTTTGATTCTAGTATAAGTCAGAGGCCCTAGTATTGGCAGCCATTCCTGACACAAGCTGTACACGTGCCTCTAGTACTGGACCTACCAATAAACAGATCTTCTCATGAAGCCCTGTGTTGCGTAACCTAAGGACCCTGACAGACAGGATGATTGCATAAATTTTAAAAAAACTTTGGACGCCACCCACACAACCTCACGTGACATCTCCATATTACTTAGGCAAAAAATAAGGGCTTTGCTTGTAGATGCAGAATGCATACAGAATACTCAAATAAATAAACCGGGGGGGGGGGGGGAGACCAGTGCAGAGGGAATGCATGCAACTGCGAAGTCAACCATTATAGCTTGAATCCTTTGATTCTCCGGAGCAAGCGGTCAGTGCAGAAATGTCCTTTGTCATTGTCTTCCACCAGTGGGTAAAGACATTTATGGTTGGGTTAGTATACCCCCCAATAACAGTTATTGGCCGTCCTCTTGAATTTTGGTGTTGTGTTTATATGTTTTTATTGAATAGATACAGGGTCATTTCCTGCAGGAGCGCACAGGAGCGGAGCTCCGGCAGTAAAGAGCCCAGGGGTCGGGCACATGCAACAAGCCCCACCACCTACTCCCAGCAGCCCTCAGTCAGAGCAAGAAGCAGCCAGGTAAATTGCAGAGCCCACCCCACCCCCCGGTCCAAAACAGTCCAGTGGCACCTGTTGTATATTCAGATGGACTTGAATGTATGGACTGCTACGTGAATTGCCTGATAGACATGCAATGTTAAGCTTCGCCCTGGGCTAGGATCCTAATGTAACCAATAGGAGCCCTAGCCCAGGAAGTGCCTGCCAATCACCTCACTAAGCGGGATCACTTGTGATTGGCCTTTATCCCTACAATCTCATAGGTTGATTATTGTACAGGGGGAGTGGCTACATTAGCCGGGAGTGTTTAAATATAGACAAGCCAGTGTATTTATTTCGATGGGTTCTGGCTGGCGATTGTTGTACCGTGTTGGAGAAGTAACTGAGCTGAAGAATAAAAACCGCATTCTTGCTGAAATCACTCTCCGACTCTTTGTTAAGTACAAGACTTAACAGCACCTTTAAGACCAAGACTTATTCAGGTACAAGCTCTCCCTCTTCTGCGAGGGCAGATCTGCACGTTTCCCCCCCCCTCCCCGATAGCTAGCAATCCAAAACATTCCAGTGGAGCCTGAGCAGTGGGTGTTGCCTTCTGACACACTTCTGGAGATGTCAGGGGGCGTGGCACATGCAAATGAGTCATGCTAATGAGTTATGCTAATGAGCTCCTGCACCTCTTTTTCTACGGAATGACCCCTGAATAGATAGATGGATAGATAGATAGACAGACAGACAGACAATTGAAAATGCTGTTTTAATGTTGACATGCTTTGCCATTTTTATATTCGCTGCCTTAGACGCCCTAGTTGGGTGGAAAGGCAGCAAAGAAAACCAGCCCCGGTGAAATCCCAAGACAGTCTGGGTTGAAAGAGCCGCCATCATTTATTGTGAAGAGAGAATGCACAACGGGAGGAAACGGGGAAGGGTTTCGGCAAGATCCGCACAGCGTTAAGCAATGGCTCAGAAAGCGACTTCCCTCTGCGAGCGGCATCAGCGGTGAGAGACGGAGACTCTGCTGGGAGCCCCTCGGCCTGCTCCGTGACCAGCCCCGGGCATCGAATCCGCCTCCTTGGCACTGCCCATTCAGGTTCTTCATGCAATATGCCTCCTGCCACCAGGCCCATGCGCAATGTTCGAGCCTCCTCCAGAAAGTAGTTTCTTGATCCCCTTCTTGATCCCCTCCTTAATCGCTTTCTTGACTTTCTTGACTTTCTTGATGAATTTTTTAATGCCCCTCCTGACACGGACGTGCTAGAGAAAGAGACGGGGAGAGAACCAGATAAACACTGGGGGTGGGGGTGGGGCTTTCCTGGGTCTATGCTTGCAAACACAAAAAGGGGTTGCCGGGTCCCTCCTGACCACCAGTGGGGTGGGGAGATAGAGGTGCCAACTCCAGGTTGGGAAATTCCTGGATGTTTGGGGGTGGAGCCTGGGGAAGACAGGGGCTTCAATAGGGTATTACACCGCAGCGGCCCCCCTCCACAGCAGCCATTTTCTCCAGGGGGACTGATCTCTGTAGTCTGGAGATGAGCTGTAATTCCGGGTGTGTGTGTGTGTGTGTCCCCAGGTGTCAGCTAGCTGCCATGTTTCACTTGTGTTTGCTCTTTCCTGACTGTGGCGCGAATGCGCATGCTTGCTTGCTTGCTTTGCTCGCTTGCTGTAAACAGCGATAGGGAGGCGCTCATGAGACCATGCAAAGTGGCGCTGCCAGACTGAGTTGTCTGACTAACTTTGAGGAGGAGGGAGGGCTTGCGTTCTACTGCTGGTGTGGATATTTCTGCTCTCATGGGGCACTGAGACTCTCCCACTTATTATGTAACCTCCTGCCGGGAGAATTCCCACCCGCGCGCTTGGATTTCATTGGCTTAGCCATTTGCCTCATCCTGCTATATGTAGGGATGCTTCTGCCCCATCGTCATTCCTAACAATATACTTGTGGACATGGTAACAGACCTGTAGTCTAATAAAGCGTAACGATTCCCTGGAAATGTGTGTGGAGATTTGCATGCTGTTGAACCTGACACCAGGTCCCCCCTGGAGGCTGGCATCCTTAATAGGAAAGAGGAGAAGGAGCTCTGGTGGATCAGATCGAAGGTCCATCTGTTCTAGGGCCCCCCAACCTTTTTGAGCCTGTGGGCACCTTTGGGATTCCGACATTGTGTGGTGGGGGCAGCCCCAAAATGGCTGCCGCAGGAGGCGGAGCCAGCCCCAAAATGGCTGCCACAAAAAAGCTGCTGCAGGAGGCGGAGCCAGCCACAAAATGGCTGCCGGAGCTGACCTTCAGTCACACAGTGGAGATCCTTGTGCTGTGGTGGCAGCTGCTGCCAAAGCAACCTTTTGAAAAATCTGCACAGTCAATCAAATCTCCAATGGCCAATCAGAAGCCTTGCTGAACGAAAGGACTGCCTACATTCTAAAAAACACTGGGGGGGGGGGCCTCAAGTGCCATATTGAGGATCTCTGATCTATTCCACCCTCCTGATTCTGCAGGAACCGGCCAGATGTTTCCAGGAAGCTGACCTAAACTGCAGGGATGCCTGTATATTTCTCTCTGTGAGAGACAGTTTGGTGTAGTGTTTAGGAGTGTGGACTCTAATCTGGGAGAACCGGGTTTGATTCCCAACTCCTCCACTTGCACCTGCTGGTGTGACCTTGGGTCAGTCATAAGTTACTTCAGAGCTGTTCTCTCATGGACAGTCCTCGAAAGAGCTCTCTCAGCTCCACCTCCCTCACAGGGTGTCTGTTGTGGCAAGGGGAAGGGAAAGGGATTGTAAACCGCTCTGAGACTCCTTTGGGTAGTGAAGGGTGGGGTAGAAATCCAATCTCTTCTTCTCTCTGTGAGTGAAGCTACAGTTATGGGGAAGGAATAAATGCCTCAAAAAAAAAAAGGCACAGGATCAAATGTTGGCCCCTTTCTCACTTTCCCCTAGAGAAACCAGTTTGGTGTAGTGGTTAAGAGCAGTGGTTTCAAAGAACCGGGTTTGATTCCCCACTCCTCCACATGCAGCCAGCAGGGTGACTTTGGGTCAGTGCCAGCTCTCTCAGAGCTCTCTCAGCCCCACCTAACTCACAGGGTGTCTATTGTAGGGAGAGGAAGGGAAAGGAGATTGTAAACTGCTCTGAGACAATTTGATGGGCTGTGCAGATTTTTAAAAATGTTTCTTCCGCAGCAACTTGTCGTATGTCAGTCTGTGCTCAGTGACAGCACAGATTCCACAGACGAAGAGTTACCTGCGGATGGCCCTCTGCCAGTAACTGAACAACTGGCTGCAGCTGGCTCTGACCCAGAAGAAGAGCAACAAGAGATCAGGTTATTGGCTGAGCAGGTCACAGCCTACAGCTGAAACTGAGCCGACGCCTTGTAGCTCTGAAGCAATAAACAAGTCTCTGGCAGCCACTCCCAGCCCACCTCCCTCACCCAAACCCCTGCCACACCAATGCTGTCAGAGGAGAGCTGAGTTGCAGGAAAGTGGGAGGAGTGCTAGACTCATGGCTCATTGTCAGCTGTCAAGTGAAGAGACGAATGAGTAACTGCTGCCATGGCAGAAGGATCTTTACTGTGTAACTGAAGGTAAGCTGCTGCAGCCATTTGATCACACAGAGCCAGTTTGGTGTAGTGGTTAAGTGCACGGACTCTAATCTGGGAGAACCAGGTTTGATTCCCCACTCCTCCTCCACTTGCAGCTGCTGGATGACCTTGGGCAAGCCATAGTTCTGACAAGAGCTGTCCTTGAAAGGGCAGTCCTCGAGAGAGCTCTCTCAGCCCCCACCTACCTCACAGGATGTCTGTTGTGGGGAGGGGAAAGGAGTTTGTAAGCTGCTCTGAGACTCTGAGTGAAGGGCGGGGTATCAACCCAATCTCTTCTTCTTCTTACAGGGTGAACTTACCCCCTCGACTGCAGTTTCACAAAGGTACTGGACAACAGGAGCCCCCTGCTCAGAGAAGATGGTCCCGTAACATTCCTTCACCACCTGCAAGAGAGGAGGCAAAGATGGCCGTTCAGGGGGAGGAAAGCATAAGGGAAATGTCGAACCGGAAGAAGCTGCATTGGAAGGGGGACTTTATGGTAACACTCCCTGCCCACCTCCTCCTCCTCCTCCGCAGACCCGACCTGACCCAAGCTCCACCCCCCTAAATCTCCAGGTTTTTCCCCAACCCAGGGCTGGCAACCCTGTTATTTGGATTTTTTTGTTGTCTGAACTGTGTTTTTTCTCTCCATATTTTGTAATCTGCCTTAAATTTCAGTGAGGACAGTAAGCTAAAACTCCGTTGCCAGCCCTGAGAGGGGAACAGGGTTGCCAGGTCTGGGTTGGGAAATATCTGGAGACTTGGGGGGGTGGGGCCGGGAGAGGGCAGGGTTTGAGGAGGGGAGGGGCCTCGGCATGGTCCAAGGCCATAGGGTCCACCTGCAAAACAGCCCTTTTCTCCAGGGGAGCTGATCTCTGTCAGCTGGAGATCAGTTGTCAAAGCGGGAGATCCCCAGGCCCCACCTGGAGGCTGGCAACCCTAGAGGGGAAGCACCTAGAGATTTGTGTGGTGGACCTTGGGAAGCGCAGCATTTGGGGAAGGTAAAGACTTGGACTTCAACAGGGTGCAAGGCCATGAAACCCACCCTCCAAAGCAGCCGTTTCCTCCAAGGGAACTGACCTCGCTCACCTGAGAATCAGTTGTGATAGCAGCTCTCCAGGCCCCACCTGGAGTTTTGGCAACCCTAGATATGAATGAAGTCGATCGTAAATAATGTTAATGATACGGGGCACGGCTGGTGGCCCCTCGCTGTTTCAGCAGAGGAACGTTGGCCCGGTTCAGAAGAGGCACAAAACGAAGCTTGTGGGAACCGGTTCTGACAGAATCGGGTCAAAACGTCACCAGGTCCCACGCAGCATCTTCACGGGCAGTGCCCCGTAGGTTGGCGCTCCCTGCTACCCCATTGCTTTGCTCTCCTTAATGCTGCCCGGGTTACGCCACGTAAAGCAAACGCTTTAACCTTGCACCAAGACCCCGGCCCTCTGACTCTGGGTCGGGTGGGAAGAGAGGGAGGGAGCCAGGGGTCATTTCGTAGAAAAAGAGGTGCAGGAGCTCATTAGCATAACTCATTAGCATAACTCATTTGCATATGCCACGCCCCCTGAAATCGCCGGAAGTGTGTCGGAAGGCAGCACCCACCGCTCAGGCTCCACTGGACTGCTTTGGATTGCTAGGTATTGGGGGGGGGGGCGGAAAAGTGGAACATGCAGATCTGTCCTCGCAGAGGAGGGAGAGCTGGTACCTGAATAAAAGCTTGGTCTTAAAGGTGCCACTGGACTGTTTGGGCGGGGGGGGGTGGGGGGGGGGGCTCTGAAGCTGACCTGGCTGCTTCTTGCTCTGACTGAGGGCTGTTGGGAGCAGGGGGTGGGGCTTGTTGCATGTGCCCACCCCCTGGGCTCTTTACTGCCGGAGCTCCACCCCTGTGCGCTCCTGCAGGAAATGACCCCTGGAGGGAACTCACCCCGTCGGCCTTGAAGTCACACTTGTCCGTGTTCAGCTGCTCCGAGGGGGGGCACGTGGTCTCCCGCACGGTGAACTCCAGCTCCTGGAGGGACTGGAGCGAGGGGTCCTGGCAAGAAAGAGAGTAGGGCCAAGAGGGACCCACCGGTTAACGCTGCAGAGTTTTGCCCAGTCGGAGAAGCAGGATACAGAGTGCATGCAACAAATCTCCCAAGAAGCATATTGCAAAGGAGGTCAACTTACGTTCATTCAAGTAGATCCCGTTCACATGCAGGTTGCAGTTTAGAAACAAGAGAAAGAAAACTAATCTACAGAGTGCTTTCCCTGACACAAATGGCCAGCTGGTCTGGCAACATGAGTGTGGGAGTTATCAGGGCATTGTTTCGACAGGAGACACCTGCAGAGACCTATGTCTCCATGGAAGGCCATGTGCAATGAGGGAGAGGACAAAGGGAGAGAGGAGGGGGGGTCAGAGGGCAGCTCCCAGGTTAAGACAAAGAGAGGCATCCCATTCGAGGAGATCACACCTAGACACCCTTAGAGTGATCTAGCACCCCGCCTCCCCCCCATATTGTTGTAAGCCGCCCTGAGCTGGCTTTGCTGGGAGGGCGGGGTAAAAATCTCATGAAATAAATAAAGGTCCAAGACATCACTGCAACAATACCAAATGGATGTCCTGCACTGCATGTTCCCAGTCCCTGGCAAAGATTGGCTCATGGCCCTCTCAGTGGGCGAGTTTAGAGCATCAGGTCACCAAGAGATTTTCCCAGCTAGGCCACAGAAGCCAAAAGGTCTTCCCCTAATGTCACCTCCCAGCCCTGGGGGGATTCAGAGGTTTGCCCACTCACCCAAATTAGACGTATCCCCCTGTCGCTCTTCAGAATTTGCTTTGGTCTTCTTCACCATCCTGAATAGTTTTGTGTCCTCTGCAAACCTGTCTTCTACATTGCTCACCCCCAATTCCAAATAAGTTATGAACAAATTAAATAGCACTGGTCTCAGTACTGATCTTTGTGCTCACTTCTCTGTATTGCAAGAACTCTCCCTTTTTTACTCTCCGTTGCCTGCCATTTAACTAACTTCAAACCCATGAAAGGACCCATCCCCTTGTTCCATGACTGCTAAGTTTACTCGGGCATCTTTGGTGACGGACATTGTCAAAGGCCTTCAGGAAGCCCAAGTATATGGGAGGAGGAGGAGGAGGAGGAGGAGGAGGAGAGGTTGGATTTATGCCCCACCCTTCACTCAGAATCTCAGAGCAGCTTAAAAACACCTTCCCCTCCCCACAACAGACACCCTGTGTGGTAGACGGGGCTGAGAGAGCTCTGACAGGAACTGCTTTTTTTCAACAGCTCTTATCAGAACTATGGCTTGCCCAAGGTCATCCAGCAGCTGCAAGTAGAGGAGTGGGGAACCAAACCCGGTTCTCCCAGATTAGAGTCCGTGCACTTAACTACGACACCAGACTGGTGTCTACCAGATCACCCTTGTCCACATGCTTATTAACCTGCTCAAAGAACCCCAAAAGGTTGATGAGGCAGGACTTCCCCTGTATAGAAGCCCTGCTCATTTCCCCCTCAGCAGGCTTTGTTCTTCAATATCCTTAACAATTGTCTCTTCAGTAACAGTTTCTCCCAAGTTACCTGGAACAGATGTTAGGCTAACTGGTCTGTAATTTCCTGGATCCCCTCGGAACCCCTTTATAAAAACTGGGATGACACTAGCTGCTCTCCTGTCCTCTGGGCGAGAGGCCGATTTTAGGGACAACTTACATATACTTTTTAACACTTTCACATTGTAGTTCCTTAAGAATCCTCAAGTGTATGCCATCCGGATGTGGAGGCTTATTAGTTTTCAATTTCCCTCATAGCCTGAGAACTTTGCCTCTTGTCACCTTCTCCGGCGTGGGCCTGTGCCCCACATTTCCCTCAGAGACTACGGCTCTCTTGCCATACGCATCTGGACTGTTTGTGCCACACCTGTGATTCCCCGATGGGCCTCTTTTCTGCAGGGCTTGAAAGCACCCATTCCACAGAAGAAAACTGAGGCTCAGAGAAGGTGACGTCTTCCAAGCCACCCAGCACGGGCTGCCCTAAAACACGGACCCCAGTTCAAGTCTCACACTAGCCACGGATGACACAACATGAGCTACTGCTGTTGGTGCCACTCACTCACCCACTCCGGCTGGGGCTTGGCTTCCAGGAGTCGGAAGGCCCGCGCCACCCCTGGCTCTTGGTTGTAGAGGTCGATTGCCAAGGAAACGGCCTCCTCGTAGCCGAGCTCCTCTTGTGCAGGAGGCATAGCTGTGGCTGCCACGGCAAGGCCAAGCATCAGCAGGATCCGGCCCTCCATCGTCCCGGCTTCTGTGGGTGCACCGTTTTTCGTTCCAAGTCACCTCCTATATACTCTGCCTTGCCCTGATTTCCTGGACCAGGTGGGCGCGTGACTCAGACATCTGTGGAAAGCCCACTTTTCTAAAGGGCTTCCCCTTTCTGTATGTTTTAAGGCAATAATGGTTATTGGCCAATACCCAACAGAACAAGCAGAGCATGAGGAGGGGGGAGAGGAGGAATTTCCCAAGGCCTCCATTTCCTTTGGCAAAAAAGGAAATCACAACAATGTGTGTGTATGTGGGGGGGGGGGAGCACGGTGTGCCAACTCCAGAATGAAGCAATCCATGCTTTCGTGTCCAGGATTCTGCACTGAGCACATCGGACGGGTTGCGTCATCACTGAGGGTTGGTTCTGTTCCTGAGCTAAGGTGGAATCAGAGAAACCAGGGTGGCCAGCTCTTGTCAACACAGAGCCAGTCTGGTGTCGTGGTTAAGTGCGCGGACTCTAATCTGGGAGAACCCGGTTTGATTCCCCACTCCTCCACTTGCAGCTGCTGGATGACCTTGGCCAAGCCATAGTTCTGCCAGAGCTGTCCTTGAAAAAGAGCAGTTCCTGTCAGAGATCTCTCAGCCCCACCTCCTTCACAGGGTGTCTGTCTGTTGTGGGGAGGGGAAGGGAAAGGAGTTTGTAAGCCGCTCTGAGACACCTTTGGGTAGTGAAGGGCGGGGCATAAATCCAATCTCTTCTGAGAGCCAGTTTGGTGTAGTGGTTGAGTGCGCAGACTCTAATCTGGGAGAACCGGGTTTGATTCCCCACGCCTCCACTTGCACCTGGCTGGATGACCTTGGGCAAGCCTTAGTTCTGATAAGAGCTGTTCTTGAAAAAGAGCCGTTTCTGTCAAGAGCTCTCTCAGCCCCACCTACCTCCCAGGGTGTCTGTTGTGGGGAGGGGAAGGGAAAGGAGTTAGTAAGCCGCTCTGATACTCCCTTCGGGTAGTGAAGGGCGGGGTAGAAATCCAATCTCTTCTTCTTCCTCCTCTTCCTCTTCGTTGTTGTCTGAAAATTCCTGGAGATTTGCAGGTGGTGCCTGCAGTGGTAGGGGTTTGGAGAGGGTTTTCACCTAGAATCTATGCCATAGGTTCTATGGTTTTCTGTAAGCTTTGCCCTCTGAATCCAACCTTTTCTCCAAGGAAGTTGGTCTCTGAAGACTTCAGATGAGCTGTAATTCCAGGAGATCTCAAGGCCCCACCTGGAGGATGGCAACCATAAATGATAACTCCAAAGTTTGTGTTTGCCCCATGCTCCATTAAGTGGAGGTCTCTCCTCCTCCTCCTGTCCGACCTGCACATTTCATCGATATGAACTCCTTTCTTCTTAAGCCCTAGGTGGGCTGCGTGGCTGCATATGGAGCCACCACCAGCCGACAGAACCAAGGAGCCCTTATTGTGATAGAATCATAGAATCACACAGAATTGGAAGGGGCCATACCGGCCATCTAGTCCAACCCACTGCTCAATGCAGGATCAGCCTAGACCAGGGGTGTCAAACATGCGGCCTGGGGGCCGGATCAGGCCCCCGGAGGGCTTCTGTCAGGCCCGCAGTGGAACTGGCTGTCTTCTGCTGCTGCTTCCAGTTCTGCTGCTGCTGTGTCATCATAGGTTGGCAGCTTACAGAGACACACCTGGACAGCAGACTCAAGACGGCGACAGCACAGACATTTTGATGCAATCATTCCTTAAAAAGGATATTATAGCTGTGGAAAAAGTGCAGAAAAGGGCGACTCAAATGATAAAAGGGTTGGAACACTAACTGATGACTGAGGCGTGAAATGATAGAGATTTACAAACTTATGCATGGGATAGAAAAGGTAGTGAAAGAAGTACTTTTCTCCTTTTCTCACAATACTAGAACTCGTGGGCACTCAATGAAATTGCTGAGCAGTCGGGTTAGAACAGATAAAAGGATGTCCTTCTTCACCCAAAGAGTGATGAACACATGGAATTCACTGCCACAGGAAGTGGTGGCGGCTACAAGCATGGATGGCTTCAAAAGGGAATTAGATAGGCATATGGAGCAGAGGTCCATCAGTGGCTATTAGCCACAAGGTATAGATAGGGGCCTGGCATGATCTGGTCTATGGGGTCGCGAAGAACCGGACTCGACTGTGCGACTGAACAACAAAACAGATAGGGGCTCTGGGGCAAATGATGCTCTGTCTTCTTGGTGCTTGGGGGGGGGTCAACAGTGGGAGGGCTTCTAATGTCCTGGCCCCACTGCTGGACCTCCTGATGGCATCTGGTATTTTTGGCCACTGTGTGACACAGCGTGTTGGACTGGATGGGCCATTGGCCTGATCCAACATTGGCGTCTCTTATGTTCTTATGTGTCAGTTATCAGACACTGTTAAATAAGCGAAATATTGCCAGAGTACTGATGTTTTAAGCATGTTTTAATTTTAAGTTAAACACCTTTGTGTTTGTGTCCTTCATAAAGTTTATATCTCCACTACCTGACACCCTCCTGCCAACCTAGGAGTTCGAAAGCAAGAAATTGCAAGTAGATCAATAGGTACCACTTCGGTGGGAAGGTAACAGCGTTCCGTGCCCCTTGGTGTTTAGTCATGCCAGCCACATGACCATGGAAACGTCTTCGGACAGCACTGGCTCTTCAGCTTTGGAACGGAGATGAGCACCGCAACCCTAGAGTCGGATTCGACTGGCTTTCGAGCAGGGGAACTTTTACCTTTTTACCTGGCACTACATTATATGGCACACACGGCCTGGCCCAACAAGGTCTCCTTTATTTCAGATCCGGCCCCCATAACAAATGAGTTCCAAGAGTATCCCTGACAAGGGTTTGTCCAGCCACTGCTTAAGGAATGCCAGGGAGGGGGAGCTCACCAACTTCCCTAGGCAGCTGATTCCACTCTTGCACAACTCGGACTGTAAATAAGTTCTTACTAATATCCAGCCGGGACTTTCCCGCCCTCAATTTAAACCCATTCTTCCGAGTCCTCTCCTCCGCTGCCCACAGGAACAGCTCCCTGCCCTCCTCCAAGTGACAGCCCTTCAAAGACTTAAAGGGAGGAATCCTGTCCTCCCTCAACCTCCTCTTCTCCTGACTGAAGGTTCCAAAGTCCCTCTGTCTTTCCTCGTAGGGCTTCTTGGGTGGAATCTGCATTTGTCTTTCCCACCGGGTGTCCCAGCCTTTTGACTCAGTCTTCAAAACAGCTGTCTACATTTGGTGTCGTTTTCACACCTCAACAGTGCTAGCATACTTTTGCACGTCCACATATGTTTATCGCCTTCTCCTGGCGGCTCCACTGTCATTGCACCTCCTCACTGCTTTTGCAAGTCAGAGCTCCTTATGTCAGATGGAAAAGCAGAGTGAATTAGGCTCGTAAAGCTGCCATAAAGCGTGAACACTGCAAAACTCCAAGTCTCTGAGACTTCCGTTTCACCCGACTGCCTTTTACAGCAGCATTATTGTATCCCACCCGACTTCCGTCATGGAACTCAGGTCAGATTCCCAGGGAGTATCTGCTCCAGGCACTGACTGCATCCAGACGGCTGCACTGTGCTTTTGGACCAGGGGTCCCGGTGTTTTTGGAATCACACTGCTGGCATCTTTGCCATTCTGACTACAGGAGGGGTGGCACGACCACAAGAATGGCTGCATCAGCAGGTGGCGTCAGCCGCAAAATGGCTGATGCAGGAGGCGGAGCCAGCCACAAAATGCCAGGGAGGAAGGTTGTGCCTAGGGGTCATTTCCTGCAGGAGCGCACAGGAGCGGAGCTCCGGCAGTAAAGAGCCCAGGGGGCGGGCACATGCAATAAGCCCCACCCCCTGCTCCCAGCAGCCCTTAGTCAGAGCAAGAAGCAGCCAGGTAAGTTGCAGAGCCCCCCCAGCCCCCCCAGTCCAAAACAGTCAAGTGGCATCTTTAAGACCAAGTTTTATTCAGGTACAAGCTCTCCCTCCTCTGTGAGGACAGATCTGCATGTTCCCCTCCCCAATAGCTAGCAATCTAAAACAGTCCAGTGGCACCTTCAAGACCAAGTTTTAGTCAGGTACAAGCTCTCCCTCCTCTGCGAGGGCAGATCTACATGTTTCCCCCCACCCCCATAGCCAGAAATCCAAAACAGTCCAGTGGCACCTTTAAGGCCAAGTTTTATTCAGGTACAAGCTCTCCCTCCTCTGCGAGGACAGATCTGCACGTTCCCTCCACCCCATAGCTAGCACTCCAGAACAGTCCAGTGGCATTTTTAAGACCAGGTTTTATTCAGGTACAAGCTCTCCCTCCTCTGTGAGAACAGATCTGCACGTCCCCCCCCCATAGCTAGCAATCCAAAACAGTCCAGTGGCACCTTTAAGACCAGGTTTTATTCAGGTACAGGCTCTCCTTCCACTGTGAGGACAGATCTGCACGTTCCCCCCCCCCATAGCTAGCAATCCAAAACAGTCCAGTGGAGCCTGAGCGCTGGGTGTTGCCTTCTGACACACTTTTCCGGTGATGTCAGGGGGTGTGGCATATTCAAATGAGCTAATTATGCTAATAAGCTCCTGCACCTCTTTTTCTACAAAATGACCTCTGGACGTAGGCATGTCAGTGAGAGCAGGGGCATTGCTTTGGTTTTTGAGCAAAACTCTGTGGTAAAATTGCCTTCAGAAGACGGTAGAGTTTTGCCCCCAAACCAGGGCATCTCCCCCCACCCCCAATATCACTGACGTGCCTACGTCACTTCAAGGTGACATAGGCACATCACATTTACTTACCGCTTCTTCCCTTCCTGCTTTTGGCAAGTCACATTTATTTCTGGAGGGGGGGGGCTTTGGCTTCCCTTTCCCCCAGTTTAGTGTCGTGGACTCGTGGTTAAGTGCGCAGACTCTAATCTGGGAGAAACGGGTTTGATTCCCCACTCCTCCACTTGCACCTGGCTGGATGACCTTGGGCAAGCCGTAGCTCTGATAAGAGCTGTTCTTGAAAAAGAGCCGTTTCTGTCAAGAGCTCTCTCAGCCCCGCCTACCTCGCAGGGTTCTGTTGTGGGGAGGGGAAGGGAAAGGAGTTTGTAAGCCACTCTGAGACTCCCTTGGGTAGTGAAGGGTGGGGTATAAATTCAATCTCTTTCTTCTTCCTCTTCTTCCTCTTCTTCTTCTTCTTCTTCTTCTTCCTCTTCTTCTTCCTCTTCTTCCTCTTTCTCTTCCTCTTCCTCTTCTTCTTCTTCCTCTTCTTCTTCTTCTTCCTCTTCCTCTTCTTCCTCCTCTTCCTCTTCCTCCTCCTCCTCCTCTTCCTCCTCCTCCTCCTTCCTGATGGTCCTGAAGCAGGGGGCGGGGCTCCAAACCAGGGGATCCCCCACCCCAAACTAGGGACTGGCAACCCTAACAGGATGCCTTTTGAAATGAACAGACTGTTTTAAGAATATTTTCTCGCACACACCCACCTGCTTTCCAGTCACACATTGAGGATCCTTGTGTTGTGGCGTTCAGCCGTCGCTGCCGCCAAAAGTCACTTTTTTAAAAATCCTGCATCGCCGACCAGATCTCAAATGGCCAATAAGAACCTTTACTTGGCAAAAGCCCCATCTAGTCCCACCCTCTTTCCAAAAACTCTTGGCGGGCACCATCTGTGTAGCCCTCAGGATGGCATGACTGCAGCCATGGAATTAAAAGACGCCTGCTCCTTGGGAGGAAAGCGATGACAAATCTAGACAGCATAATAAAAAGCAGAGACATCCCCCTGCCAACAAATGTCTGTATGGTCAAAGCGATGGTATTCCCAGTAGTAATGTATGGCTGCGAGAGCTGGACTATAAGGAAGACCGAGCACCAAAGAATAGATTCTTTCGGATTTTGGTGCTGGAGAAGACTCTTGAGAGTCCCTTGGACCGCAAGGAGATCGAATCAGTCAATCCTAAAAGAAATCAACCCTGACTGTTCCCTGGAAGGCCAGATAATGAAGCTGAAGCTCAAATACTTTGGCCACCAAAAGGGAAGGGAGCACTCACTGGAGAAGAAGACCCTGATGCTGTGAAAGACCGAAGGTAACAGAAGAAGAAGGGGATGGCAAAGGATGAGATGGTTAGACAGTGTTATCGAGGCAACGAACATGAAGTTGAACGAACTCTGGAGGATGGCGGAAGACAGGAGGGCCTGGCGTGATGTGGCCCATGGGGTCATAGAATCATAGAATGTTAGAGTTGGAAGGGGCCTTGCAGGTCATCTAGTCCAACCCCCGGCACTCTGCAGGAGCATAATCGAAAGGTAGCCCTACAACATACCCGAAAGACGGTCGTCCAACCTCCGCTTGAAAACGTCCAGTGAAGGAGCATCCACCACCTCCCGTGGCAGACTGTTCCACTGCTCAACCACTCTTACAGTTAGGAAGTTTCTCCTGATATTTAGCTGGTAACGACTCCTTTGTAATTTCCACCCATTAGATCTAGTCTTGCAATCCAGAGCAAGAGAATAGATCCGCTCCATCTTCTACATGACAGCCCTTCAAATACTTGAAGACTGCAATCGTGTCCCCTCTAAGCCTTCTCTTTCCCAGGCTAAACAGACCCGACTCTTTCAGCCTTTCCTCGTAAGACTTGGATTCCAACCCTCTCACCATCCTGGTCGCCCTCTTCCGGACACGCTTGAGCTTGTCAACATCCTTCCTCAAATGTGGTGCCCCAAACTGGACACAGGACTCCAGGTGAGGCCTGACCGTAGCAGAATAGAGCGGAACGACCACCTCCCATCGCGAATAGTCGGACTCAACAGTGAGACTGAACAACAGCAACAGGACATGCTTATGTTCCCTCTAAGCTGTGGAGTCTTGTGATCAAAAATTCTGCTTAGTGAGCTACCGGCGTTAAAGTGGTGAGTGAGCGATTTGGCTATGCCATAAATTAGTTTGCTCTGGAGCCATCCTCCCTGAGCTAAGAAAAAAATGTGTGAGCTGGAGGCTAAAAACCTGTGAGCTAGCTCACACTAACTCAGCTTAGAGGGAACGCTGGATGGCACCTATGCCCCCCTTCGACTTCCTGTTTCTCCCATTATTCTAAAACTGAATGAAACGTTCTGTGAAATGGGAAGGGTTTGGGGTTCTGTAATCCATGCTGTCGTTCCAGCAGCGTGGTGAGATTGGGCTGGGCGGTGGCGGAATGGGACCCCCGGAAGCGGGTAACCCCCTGCCTCTGTTGGGGGTATGGCAACCCTATATATATCTCTTATGGCAAATGCTGTTTTAAGGGTGACGTGCTTTACTGTGTTGATAGCCGCTGCCTTAGAAACCCTAGTTGGGCAGAAAGGCAGCACGGAATACCAGTCCCGGTCCCAATAAAAACCCAAGACAGTCTGGGTTTGAAAGAGCACGACATTTTATTGTGAAGGGAGAATGTAAACTGGAAGGAAAGGGAGAAGGTTTTCGGCATGATCTGCAGAGCATTCAGCCTTTGCTCAGAAAGCGACTTCCCTTTGCAAGCGACATCAGGGCTTTTTGTAGAAAAAGCCCAGCAGGAACTCATTAGCATAATAGGCCACACCCAACACCAGAAAATCATTAGCATATTAGGCCACACCCATGACAGCATGGCTCATTAGCACATTAGGCCGCACCCCCGTGTTACCAGAAGTGAGCTCATCCAGCCACACCCACCTTTTGCTTCTTATTCTGTTGACCTTGTTTGTGGTCAAAACCCAGGGCCTTTTTTTGTAGCAGGAACTCCTTTGCATGTTAGGCCACACACCCCTAATGTAGCCAATCCGAATGCGTTTCTGCTGTTGGGTGTGGCCTATTATGCTAATGAGTTCCTGCTGGGCGTGGCCAGCTCGGGAGCCAGCCGGAACTCCGTTCCTGTGCGTTCCTGCCCAAAAATAGCCCTGGCGGTAAGAAACGGAGACTCTGCTGGGAGTCCCTCGGCCTGCTCCGTGAGCCTCCCCGGGGCATCGACTCCGCCTCCTTGGCACTGCCCATTCAGGTTGTTCATGCAGTATGCCCCCCGCCTCCAGGCACGTTTGCAATGGAAGACCCGCCTCCAGGCAGCGGCTTCCCCTGACAGGTCCCGTTGCAATTTCCTCGATCCTTTATCTTTTTCCCTTTCCGAATGTCCCTCCTGATACGGATGAGCTAGAGAGAGAGAGAGAGAGAGAGAGAGAGAATCAGGGGAAAAATGGATTGGGGGGGGCCTTTCCTGGGTATGCTTGCAAACACAAAAAGGGGGTTGCCGGGTCCCTCCTAGCCACCAGTGGGGGAGGTAGAGGTGCCAACTTCAGGTTGGGAAACTCCTAGAGATTTGGGGGTGGAGCCTGGGGAGGCCAGGGACCTCAATGGGGGTGCGATGCTGCAGAGTCCACCCTCCAAAGCAGCCATTTTCTCCAGGGGGGTTGAGCCAGTTCACTGTGACTGAAGCAGAGGGCAAAAGGCAAACAGCCTCAGGGAAGACGAGGCCAGAAGAACAACGAAATTTTGTTTTTTTTAAACAAAGAGAGAGGAACACAGAAATGCACACACATGGAAAGAGAAGAATAAAGTGCAACGAGAGCTCCTTAAAGGAAAATCTCAGGAGCTCTCTAAATCCACTGTTCTCTCAGGCGGAGGCAGGAAAAAGACTGAGATGGAAAGTGCAATCAATGTCCTTCCTCCAGGGATTGTGGGAAGATGAACCCAAGCACATCGGTGTCCTCCAGTTTGGTGTAGTGGTTAAGTGTGCGGACTCTAATCTGGGAGAACCGGGTTTGATTCCCCACTCCTCCACTTGCACCTGCTGATGTGACCTTGGGTCAGTCACAACTCTGACAAGAGCTGTCCTTGAAAAAGAGCAGTTTGTGTCAGAGTTCTCTCAGCCCCACCCACCTCACAGGGTGTCTGTTGTGGGGAGGGGAAGGGAAAGGAGTTTGTAAGCCGCTCTGAGACTCCAAGTGAAGGGCGGGGTATAAATCCAGTCTCTTCTTCTTCTTCTTCATCTCTGTGGACTGGAGGTGAGCTGGAATTCCGGGGGGAGGGGGGTGTCCCCAGCAATGCTCCCTCTGAGCTGTGGAGTCTTGTGAGCAAAAATGCTACTTTGTGAGCTACCGGCGTTAAAGTGGCGAGCGAGCGATTTGTCTCCCACATGAATCGGTTTGCTCTGGAGCAATGCTCCCTCTGAGCTGTGGGGTCTTGTGAGCAAAAAAATCCTACTTTGTGAGCTACCGGCGTTAAAGTGGTGAGCGAGCGATTTGGCTCCTCCATAAATCAGTTTGCTCTGGAGCAATGCCCCCTCTAAGCTGTGGGGTCTTGTGAGCAAAAGCTCTACTTTGTGAGCTCCTGGCGTTAAAGTGGTGAGCGAGTCATTTGGCTGCTGCATGAATTAGGTTGCTCTGGAGCCGTCCTGCCCGAGCGAAGGCAACAACGTGTGAGCCGGAGGCTGAAAAACCTGTGAGCCAGCTCACACTAACTCAGCTTAGAGGGAACACCGGTCCCCAGGTCTCTCCCTGGAGGCTGGCATCCTGAGCAGGAAAGAAGAGAAGGAGCTCTGGTGGATCAGATCGAAGGTCCATCTATTCTAGGGGGGCCCAACCTTTTTGAGCCTGTGGGCACCTTTGGGATTCCAACATCGTCTGGCGGGGGTAGCCCCGAAATGGCTGCCGCAGGAGGTGGAGACAGTCACAAAATGGCTGCCGCCGCTCACCTTCCGCCACACAGTGGATATCTTTGTGCCGTGGTGGCAGCTGCTGCCAAAGCAACCTTTTGAAAAATCGGCACAGTCAATCAGATCTCCAACGGCCAATCAGAAGCCTTGCTGGACGAAAGGACCGCCCACATTCTAGAAACACTGGGGGGGGGCTCAGGCGCCACGTGGAGGATCCCTGATCTATCCCACCCTCCTGATTCCGCAGGAACCGGGCAGATGTTTCCAAGACGCTTCCCTCCAC